TTATATTGTTAAAATGTCCATAGTAACCAAGTCAATCTACAGACTCAACATTCCTATCAAAATTCCAATGGAATTTCTCATGAAAACAGAATAAAAATTCTAAAATTTGTATGGAACCATAAAAGACCACCAATAACAAAAGCAATCTTGAGAAAGAAGAGCAAAGCTGAAGACATCACTCTCCTGGATTTTGAACTATATTACAAAGTTATAGTAGTCAAAACAGTATGGTACTGGCACAGAAACAGACACATAGATTATTTGAACAGGACAGAAAGCCTAGAAATAAAGCCACACATATTTTATGACAAAAAAATATCAAGAATATTCAGTATCTTCAATAAATAGTGTTGAAAAAACCTGACAACCACATGTGAAACAATACACCTGGACCACTACCGTACATCATACATAAGAACTAGTTCAAAATATATTAAAGACTTGAACATAAAATCTGTAATCCTAAAACTCTTAGAAGAAAACATACATAGCACACTTTTTGACATTAGTCTTGGCAATGATTTATTTGGATTTGACACTAAAAGCAAAACAGCAAAATAAACAAATGCCACACATAATACTAAAAAGCTTCGGCACAGCTAAGGAGACCATCAATACAATGAAAAGACTACCTACTAAAAGAAGTTTTGCAAATGATACATCTGATAAGGGGTTAATATCCAAATATGTAAAAAGCAACTGAATAGCAAAAAAACAAACAATCAAATTAAAAAATGAACAGAAGATCTGTATCAACTTTTTCCAAAGAAGACATACAGATGGCTAACAGGTACATGAAAAGGTGTTCAATATCACTAATCATCAGGAAAATGCAAATCAAAACCACGATGAGATGTCACCTCATACCTATTATAATGTCTTATTATCAAGACAGGAAATGTATTGGCAAAGATGTGGAGAAAAGGGAACCCGAGTGCACTGTTGGTGGGAATGTAAATTGGTATAGTCACTGTGGAAGATTATATGGAGGTTCCTCAAAAAACTAAAAATGGAACTACCATACAACCAGTAACTCCACTTCTGGGTACTTATTTATCTAAAGAAAACAAAACCACTAACTCAAAAAGATAGACTCACCCCCACGTTCCTTGAAGCATTATTTACAACAGCCAAGATACGGAAACAACTGAAGTGTTTATCAATGGATGAACAGATAAATAAAATGTGATTTATGTATATAATGACATTTTATTTGGCCATAAAAAAAGAATAAAAATCCTGTGATTTGCAACAACATGGTTGGACCTCGAGGGCATTATGCTAAGTGAAATAATTCAAAATACTGTATGATCTCATTTATATGCTAAATTTTTTTTAAAAAACAGCTCATAGGTACAGAGAACAGATTAGTAGTTGTCAGAGGGGCACGAGGGTGAAAGTAGTAAAAAATACAACAACAAAGATGAGTTACATCTGTATATGTTGACATAGAAAGATACTCATGGCCTTGAGTGGTAAAACCTGTAGCAGAAAAATGTACATGCTATAATCTCACTTTCATTGGTGAGAGAGAAATAGAAAACTCTGAGTTCTATTGTACATTAGGAGCATAAAAAGATATATGTAACACTGCTAATCAGGGTTATTTCAAGATATTCTCTCAAGTCCACACAATGCCAATGCCTAAAATAAAATACCCAGCAATGAAAATTAAAAGCAAAAAGAAAAATCCCAAGGCATAATAAAATAGAAAAAAATTAAAGCAGAATTTCATTTTCTAAAAAAATTACTAGTGCAAAAGAAATAAAGCAACGCCTTAAAACACTTCTGAATAAACAATGCCAGATGCTAAAAAAAAAAAAGAGAGATTCTTTTTAATTTTAGGAAGAATGCATTATGATTTTAGTATCATAGGCCACTTAAAACTATTGGTGGAAACAGAAAAACAATGAGTGTTCCACTAGGTCGTATAAACTCCAATTTTTAAAATATGAGAACAAAATGAACCAATGGTACAAAAAAAAAGCTATTGACCTAGAAAACAAACTCAGAAACCTAAGATATTCACTCTGAAATGTCCAATGTCCATATTGCCTATGAATGTAAAAATTCACAGGCAATAATATCATACAATAAGGCTAGCAAAAAAAAAAGTAGCCCTCATGCTGCCACTCCTCCCTTCCTCTCCTCCCCAGCCCACTCTCAAGACAGTTGTTGCCTCCTGTCCCAGCAGTCTTTCCCTCGGAGCCAAGATAAGCCTTCTTCACATTTTCTTAAATGTGGAGAGCAGTACCAATAAAATGGCGCTGGTCCTGTCACGATAGGATAAAGTGTAAAACAAAAGGATGTCACTCATGTCAACAAAGATGGCTGTCAGTCTCTCATAATACTTTGGTTCAAGAAGGAAACTACCTAAGTCATGCCAGGTACCCTGCCAAATGCCTGCCAGGGCAGCATATCCAAGATATCAGCACACAGACACATCTGCAAAGAAGGGCGCACCTGCGGATAGAGTGCTGGGGGCTCTCGGCCCCAGGCCACAGAATTTTCAGTTCAATCAGGTGCCAAGAATTTGGATATAATTGAGGTGGACTTCAGACCGACCACTGGGACAGCAAATCTCCCACCACAAGATGCTGTTCCACGCTACTCTGGGCAACACACCACTGGAGGCTCTGCCTGTCTGAGCTCCGGAACTTCCATATCACCTGAGGCACCGCTCTAATTCCACTCAAACACCTGTTTGTCCTACAGACGATTGGGCTTCGGCCTTGGATCTAGTCAGGGGCGATCTTCATTGCAAGATTCTGATGACTCACCACCCACTGCGCTGTCTCCTGGACCTGGGACTGAAACTCTGGGACTTGGGTTCATTAATCCGCCATTGATTGTTGTGTGTTAATTCTGTGTGGTGTAACAGAGGATAGGATATTAATGTAATGTCCATGTTCTATCTTGTGTGGACCTACATTTAGTAAAAGCTGAGTCTGGGCAACAGCTGTTGTGGCTCTCACCTAGTTCCTTGCTGCTGCCAGGTATGAACTCAGCCGGGTGTCCTACTTCCCTGGAACCAGAGGTGCACCCTGACTTACAGGACAGACTGTAATGTGACCCTCCTCAGGAGAAACGCCTACGGGGGTTGTACTGAGCGTGCTCACAACATTGACCTAGGTAGCACTTCCCGTAGCCTCTACCAAACTACCAAGGTTGCAGTTATAATGTCACTGGAAAACAGCTTGTCATTTCCTCAGGAGCGGAAGATCCAAGATAAGAATTCACAGCCTAAAAATGAAAAAGGCACACAAGGTTCTCTTCAAGATTTAACATGTCCTCAAGAGGAAGACATTTAGATAGTATATGCTTATTAAATCCCTGAACTTTGGAAATACAGAATGATGGCTTCAGGCAACTAATGAGAAAGATAACAGTTTAGGGCATCAGAGATAAGAATAGCTTGAGATCATCCTATTAAAGTGCTGAAAAGAAATCTTAAATCCACAGAAGCTGCAGAAACTCTCTAGTGAGCAACCCCATTATCCCAGAAGAATCACCCAAGGGGCATTTGACTCGGATTAGCTAGAGCCACTTAAAAATAAAATAAATAATGCAAGCAATAGGGTAATCACCAATATATGGTAAAGTTTAGTTACTTTGTATGACAGTCCTTAAAAATGAGGATAAAATACTTCCAATACTTTTCAGAGTGTCTTTTCTATTAATCCTGAACGAGTTGTGGAGGGCAATTTAGGTAAATCTAAAGAAATAATATATTTCTTATTAGGGAGTCCAGTTGTTCTTTTTAATGGATAAACATAGGAATTTAGAATGAATAAAGACAAAACACAGTCTAATTATTTTAAATAATAAGGGGTTACAGTATTGCATGCTGTAACCATTGATTTTAAAACACACCATTATGTAAGCCACTCAAAAAGAGAAAAAATGACTATTACAAGGCTTTCTTATTGCTTAGCATTTTTATACTGTTTTTTTGAAACTGCTCCTGTAAGCTTATTGAGATGTGGAAGTGACCATGCTATGCAGAGCAATGACTGAACACGTGTGGAAGCAGTGAAAACGCTCATATCTTCCATCCGCCTGACGGCATTTGTAGGATGCCATCAATTTTAAGACACAGCCTGATTTCAGGTTAAAATCTTAAAACTAAACAAAAAAGTGTGCCTTAGAATTGAAGAAATAGAACATGCCAAATGAGTTACTTTCGAGGTAGATTTTAAAGGAAAAAGGGTACTTAAAACAGATAAATATGATTCACCGTGACATTATATTACAAGGAATGTGCAAAATGCCTTGAATAAGGACTTGACTCCTGCCTAGGGAAGCATAGAAGGCTTTCCATTTGGGGCACAGAGCTATCCTTGGAGTGGGCAAAATTGAAAAGAAGAGGGAGAACCCAGCATGATAGAAAAAAAAAGAGTTTGAAGATGATGGACTTCCCTGGCTGCTGTGGCTTAGTGGATTGATTGAGCGCTGGCTCTATGAACCAAAAGGTTGCCTGTACGATTTCTGGTCAGGGCACATGCCTGGGTTGTGGGCCAGGTCCCCAGTAGGGGGTGCCAGAGAGGCAACTACACATGGATGTTTTTCCCCCTCCCTTCCCCTCTCTCTAAAAATAAATAAATAAAATCTTTTTTAAAATGAAAATAAATTTGATAGATTGGGGTAAAGGTCCAACTTTGAAGGTCCTGACATCCTATAATTTGGGGGTTCAAGCATGATCACAAGGTTTTCACGATACTGGCCCCACCAGCCTCCCTCATCAACAGGCGTACCTCAGAGAGAGTGCGGGTTTGGTTCCAGATCCCTGCAATAAAGAGAGTCATAATCTTTTTAGCAAAAAAGGGTCCTGCCTTCATTTTGTAAAAACCACAACATCTATGAAGAGCAATAAAGCAAACTGCAATAAAACAAAATATGCTTGTTTGTACTTGAGTGTGTGAGTGTGTGAGGACAGGCACTTGTGTTAAGGTTGTCTGTGGCCAAAGAACACAGCTATTCTTGTTTCCTTGTCCCCCCAGAGAAACTCGAAAGCGAGAAGCTGAACGTTGCTGAGGTCACCCAGTCAGAGATTGCTCAGAAGCAAAAGCTGCAGACCGTCCTGGAGAAGATCAATGAAACCCTGAAACTTCCTCCCAGAAGCATCAAGTGGAATGTGGACTGTGAGTTTTACAAAGAAAAAATGGGTCTGGTAAATGATCCTTCTGGTCTCTACTGGGGCTTCCCTAAGAAGCCATCCAGCAAACTGCTGCATGGTGGATGCAAACCCATTCACCCTCCCAAGGAAGGACACCTCTCACACACAGAGAACGTGTCCTCCATACTTCTGGGGCAAGTAACAAAATGTCAGATCCAGTGTGCCTTTCCGTAGAAGCTCATGTAAGACTGGGAGAGGAAGAAAACTCATATTCATTGAGCTACTTCTGCATCCCAGCCCAGCCTTCAGAAAATGCCCTTGTCTCCAGTTTATAGGGGTTTCAGGCGCCTGAGATCCCTACGTTCAGGCAGCGGAGAAGCCAGGGAGCAAGGAAATGGGACAAAGCCCTCGGGCTTCCTCTTACTCATTTTCGGGGGGGAGGGGAGGATATGTCTGATATTATAGGCACTAGAATGGTTTTTGAATTCAGGTTTCACAGCTAGGTAGCTTGAAGATCTCAGAAAGTATAAAGCTTTTAGTTATTTTTTTTGCTGCCTCAAAGGCCTGGGTGTCTAATTTGGACGTAATGAGTCCATATCAGAACCAACATTAACTCAGCAAATTGGGTGAATCCACAGCGACATTCTTTCCCGTAGGGAGTCCAGAGTTGTTTTGTTCTTTGCAATAGATAAAAATGTGAATTTAGATTGTGTTCTTTGCCTTTGTTTTAAGTATGAAAGGGTTTAATATTATATCTGATTGCATCCAATTTATAAAACCTAAAGTGGACACATCCCCCCATAAAAACACCTTTCAGACTTGGCAAAGAAAAAGGAATCTTTACCTCTCAACCCAGAGGCCCAGTAGCTGCCAGTCTAATCTCTTCAGCAGGTTCCTAACATCTGACTTTGGAGGTAAGATGCCAAGTACCTCCTTCAGCGTAATTACACCTTTGCTTGCACAGTGCGATGAGCTGCCTCTCATAGCACTTGGAACAGGGCATCTTCTGCGGCAGGAGACAACGAGGAATGAGGGCAGGAGGAGGGGAGGCCAGGTCTCCGGGCCCTGGGTGCTATCCAGCCTGTGTCTCAGGAATCCTAATAGTGTTCAGTGGGAGAGAAAACAGGAGGCTTGATCACTAGTTTGAAAAAATGCATCTGCATTTTGGAAATCGACGACATTTAGAAGCATTAAAACATAAAGTCATAAGCATTAAAGTTCTCCCACCAAGACCCCTGTTTGGTTTTTTTATATATTTTTTACTCTATTTCCCACACCTCTGAATGGGTACCATCTCCATGCACCTTCCTAATGAAACAAAACACCTTTTAACTCACCAGGGAACCCAATTTGGGAGAGGCTGAGATAAAAGAATGGAATTTTTAAAAGCCTCATGAGGATCATCATTGGCTTTGAATGATTTGTTTCACGTTTACTTCCATTTCCTGTGGGAACATGTGGGTGAGTACAGTAGTCACTCACACTACCATACCACTCTCGTCTGGCTGTGTTCATTTTTGCCCAGCACTGTCTCTATCGATGCATATTTTCACTTGATGAAGTTAGGTACACCTTGTGTTTTGTTCTTTTCACTTAAGAGTAAATCATACGTATTTTCTGTATTCCCATGTGGTCTTCATAGTTATTTTTTTTTTGATAGCTGCTCTATTTCATGGGGTAGATATCCCATCGTTACCTCAAACCCTTTTTCATTGACACTGACCCTTCCAGGACATTTGGCAGCCCATTGCTAATCTCAGCTAGTGCCAAGTTGAATGTCTTAGGTTGTGTCTCTTTTTGCTTCTCTTGAATTATCCCTGTCACAGATTCCCGGAACTGAGATAAATTCCTAGGTTGGAAGGAAGAGTTACCTCGATGACTAGCTCCCTGGGATGTCCGGGGCTTCGAGGACTGCTGGGCCTGTTTACCGGCAGCAGTGGTTTCTTCCGTGCGGAATGCGGCAGGCACAGCCCCTGGGGGAAGCTCGGTCCCTCCTCTTGGTTATCTCTCCCGGTCGTTTCTGAGGACATTGTGTCATTTTCCATGTGGGGTAAAGGTGGCGAGGAGAAGCCTCGGGCTGCAGTTAGCCCTCAGGAACCAGAACAGTCATACTTTTTTTTCATCCATTTTGCCTAATAGCTTTTAGAACAAACGCTTTCTCTGCTTAATTAAAAAAAAAAAAATCATTGAAAACCACTGGTCTAAACCACCCTCCTGCTGTTGGACATAGTGTTTTCCAGATTTTTTTCAGTGATAACATATTACACAATATTTAACATCTTTGTATGTGTAGTATGCATGAGAGAGAGAGACTGTAATTATTTCTTTTGAAAACAATTCCCAGGAGGAGGGAGCACTCATTGAAAGAGTCTGGCATCTGTGTGGTGCTCATGACGCAGCTCTGTCTATTGCTCACCAAGACAGTCGAGATGACGCACGATGTCGCCAGCGTGTAAGAGCAACCTTTTGGACCGCAGCTCCTCGAACATTATGTTTTGTCATGGAAAGGGAGAGAGGTAGTACACACATCCTCCAACCCGGTGACTAGACTGAAGGTGTGGCAGTTCTGATGGCATCGGGGAGCACACCACGTCAGTGGGTCAGTCCCACGCTAGGAGCCTTTTTGAGGCTATAACTATGGGTGAAACTTTGACAATGGCCAGAAGCCCAGAACTGAAAACTTCTGGAAGGCAGAGTTAGAAGTAGATCATTTGTTGTTTGATGGTGTTGAGCTGCTGTTCACAGCCAGTAGAAAACCTTCTTTGAAGTAGCAGTGATAACAAGAAACTCTAATGAGTTCCCAAGGAATGTCTGAATCATTTCCTTTTCTTGGTGATTTCTCAAAGCTTCTGTGGAGCAGACTCATCGATCCTAGCACAGACACTCTAATAGTGGGCCCAGTTCATTCTAAGTACAAAAAAAATGGGCACTTTCTGTTCTTTCCTTAAGTGCCCCTGTAATAAAGAACCATGGGACTGGAAGGACTGTGAAGACAGGTCAAGTACCTGGTGACTCTTCCCTTGTATGAGAAACAAAGGGGAGAAAGTTGACGTGATTTAATTGCCTAGATGCCAGGCACTTTTTCAAATTATAGTAAAAATTATCAACCATTCCTAGGCATCTGCTATGTATGGGCTAGGGCTTTGCCTACATTACCTCTGGAAATTCTTACGACCTATATTTTTGCACCGGCACAGTTGTCCCCATTTGTGAAGATGAACAGATTGAGGCTCAGAGTCACTGAGTGGCCTACCCACAGTCTTACAGGCAGCAAATAAAGGGTAGAGTCGTCGAGTCAGAATTCAAACTCTAACCTAACCATGTGTGTGCCAGATTAAATCAGTCTTTTTCTCCTCACTTCTACTGAGAAAACTGCAACCCAGAAGTTGCCCAGCTTTCTCCATAAATGGCTTGACATCCAGCACATTGCTTAGTAGTTACAGAGGCCAACTGGGTCATAAATATTCCCTCCTAGCAAGTCCCTAAGGGGCACTGCCTACCCTGACCATACGTGATGCTCAAGAGGGCACAAAACCCCGTAGATATCTTTTGTGCTTTTCTCCAGGGACCTTTAAAGACCTGATCAAAGGAAGGGATCCAGTGTTCCTGACTCAGTGTCCATTTATTGAGAGCCTACTTTGAGCATAGCCTTGGAACAAGGGTAGTGGTAATAACCCAAAGATTTCATTCACAATCAGATCAGAAGAGAAGGAGGGTGCAAAGCAGACATGTCCATGGTTATTAAAATAGAGTAAACAAAAACACGGATGTGTTGGAGAGCTGATCTGAACTCAGAATTCAGCCACTGTCAGGGTCTCTATAGGGACCTTGGATTAGAGTAGAGAGGCACTACATTGAGAACCCATCAATAACATGTTTCAAGAAGCAGCTCCTTGGGACCTGGCCAAGAATGAGGGGGCCCAGGGTGAGGTCTGTGATGACTAAGAGTGTCTGTCCCCCGATCCTGTGGGTGGGATAAGAGAACCAATGGATCTGGTACAGCTACATTTGGACTATCTGCTTGTATCTTCCTAGAACCTAGAAGATTCTCTAATTTTTTTATCATCTTTTATTTCAGCTGTTCATGCCAAGAGCCTGGTAGCCATCCTGCATCTGCTTGTTGCTCTGTCCCAGTATTTCAGGGCGCCAATCCGACTCCCAGACCATGTTTCTATCCAAGTAGTTGTGGTTCAGGTAAGACAGAAACCACTACAAACATCTGCACCCTTAAAGCAGTGTGAAGGCTGAGTTCCGATGAGAGCTAAGGCACACTCGGTAGCTTGTTAGGACAGCTGAATGAACGTCTGGTGTTCTCAGGCATGCTGTACGTTGGGAAGCGTGTGACTACACTTTCTGATGTGTGTGGGCTTATCTCTAGTAAGTGTGCAAAGGGTGGAAGAGTGAGTGTTTGTATGGGGCATGTACCTGGGGTTTACATGTTATTCTCAGGAGGGTGTCTATGTAACATACATTTCGGGATGTATGGTGTGTGTATGTTTGTGAGGAGGATCTAGTAGGATCAGGAGGAAAGATGTGTTGTGTGTGCATGTGCACGTGTACCCTACGAGCCATAGAGAATCATCATTTTGGAGTAAGGAATATACTGGGAACAGACGAATGCGAGGGTGTGGGTACGTGTGTGTTTGAGAGACCCCGACGGGTTGTGCCCATACTGAGGGTGCTGCCACTTTTCACTCGCCCGGAGAAGCACAGCTGGGATCTCAAGTCATCTTTTTCAGATGATTAGGTGGAATTTCCACTCATGTGACTGTGTAATTTTCACAATGAGAGTGTGTACACACCCTGTGACTATCTCACTCTACCTCAACCCCATCAGATACTTAAATTCATTTTCATTTTCCAACTCTATGCCATTGAGCAGAAGGTTGTCATTTTGTGTGCTTGTATCTGTCCTTTTCCAAATAAACATGCTGCAAGGGAGAACCCTGCTTAGAAGCAGCTCCCTGAGTCTCCAGGGTTCTGGAATAGAGCACAGCATGGCACTTCTGCTGGCCCTTGGGGAGGAAGAGCTTTGAGGGCTGGTAAGCTTGCCTCACCAGACCAGGCCAGTTTCAAGGGGAAAAAGGTCTTTGAGCTGAGCTTTCAGGGACCGGACATTAATGGAAGAAGACTCGGGGTGCTGCTTAGTCAGCTGCTCAGCTGTGCCCTAATGAAAAAGTATTTCTTTGACACATTCTGGGTACTGGACTTGCTAAGCATCAAGAGGATATAATAGGAATATGACACCTTGGCCCTGCCTGCCAAGAGATAAGCAGCAGAGAGCGCTATCAGAAGCCCATAGTCAATGCGAATGTATGTGGTTCAGACACTAAGTGCAGCTGACTGAAAGGGACTAATTGGCCTCATTCATTGAGCACTCAACTGTGTCAAACATGGTGCTAAGCATTTTCTGTCTGCCACGGATACGTGGCCAGCCCAGAGCTTCCTGGTACAAGCATTTTCCTAGTGGATCCAGGCCATCTCTACTGTGTTATTTGTACCGATCAATAATGTGTGAATCCATTTCATTATATTTTTTTAAATTATGATTCCAAATCTGAGCAGAAAAGGGGGGCTCCTATTTTGAAAGAGTGGTCACAATAGCCCATGCTTCCTGCCTTATTTTGAGCTCAATTATGGACCATCTGAAGGCTGTTGTTGGTTTAATTTCTCCTGTAGGCAGTTTTGTTAGCATGAGGGAGAAAAGAGGACACATTACATAAAATGGCATCAATGCATGTCAGGTTTGATGGGGTACTCTGCTTTATCAAGTTAAACAGGCGCAGAAGCAGGACTCAGAATTGGCTGTGAGTCACTGGACTACAGAGAGCTCCTTGGGGAACAGATAATGGAGCGCACTGAATCAGGATGCAGTGTGAGGGGTTATTTAACCCAGATTTCTTTTCCATGCGGTATATAAAAGCATTTAATGCTGCATGATGTTGAGGGTGAGGTCTGTCTGTGAATGGCCTCACAAGACAAGGACACAGATTCCATCAGCCCCGTGTGCAAATTTTACGTTATGTTAAAGCTGAATTTGGAAAACGTTCCGATTTATCGCCACTGGATCTCCTTTAAATGATGTTTTTAACTTCCTCCTTTGCTTTGATAATCCATTCTTCTTAGTCTAATTCAGATATACTCTTGGCCTTTACCCAGTTCTATCTTTCCTTCTGTCAAAGTATTTTGTAAGGACACTAGGTTCTCTGTGGCTGTTGAGAATGGAAAGAGAAGGTTCTGGAAGTTTGGGAAGGTGGGTCAAGAAGGCAGGCTTGTATTGAGACCCCAGCACTTGGAGGGTCCTTTCTGGACACTCATCTCCGCCTTTGTGGAAAATGAGTTTGCTCTGACAAGTGCTTCCATGCCCAGACCACCCTCCAAGTATAGCTGACTAGGAAGGAACCTGATAAAATGAATCTCCCTCCTCACGCCCATCAGAAGGCCTTCTCGAATCTGAACACTCCTTCCTTAGCCCCATGACCACGTGATGGGGTTTAAATACTAAACCAGCACTCAGCCAACTCCCTGTTGACTCATGGCATCCTCCCTCCAAACTGCCCCCTGAACGCATTGTGCTCTCCTCACTCTGCCTTTTTGCTCTGCTTCCCCCACTGGAATGGCCTCTCCTGTGTGTCCAGTCCAATTCTGTGTGTCCTTTAAGTTCCAGCTCAAGGTCCCCTCCCCTTGGAAGGTTTCCTGACCATCTCTGCTGAAAGTGCCTGCTCTTGTCCTGCACTGAGCACTTTCTTTCCGCATAGGGTGACCTCATGATTTATTCTCCATGACACTTTTGAGATGGAAAGGGGATCCTTGTGATCTCAACTGAACTGGGTCATCAGGCAAAGCCCCTGGCTGGGGGAAGCCATGCTTACCTACCTGCTTCATCTATGCTATTTTACTCCATATTCCTCAAGTCCAGAACCAATGTCGTGCATTCCATACTATTTGCTCCAAGGTCAACACAAGGGCTTGTACATAAAAGGCACTGATTAACAAAATAAAGAAGAGTTGGAGGGGACGAGATAGAGGTCAGACACATGGATGGCTGGGTCAATAGGTAGGTGGGTGTCCAAAGTATTTAACCTTTTCTCAGAGACTGAGCTAGTTACCTAAGGACAGTACTAGTTATTTAAAAGCTCCTATATTCATCCATGACAAAAAAACAAAGAACAACAAAAAAACTCTCTCTGTTTGAATTCTTCAAGTTGGCCTCGTTCCTCCACCCCAGTCCCCCAGCTAAATGTGTTTCTCAGCTTCCCTCTGCGGCCCCAGCTGGAGGGCAGACACACCCCGGCCTTAATTTCCATTTGGTTTACTGTGGATTACTCCAGGAGGCGAACAGTGTGCTTCCAACAGAATGTCTTCCAATAAAGAAAGAAAAGATGCACCATCCAAGAAACAGCCTACTTGTTTGGACTAAACATGAACTGCACTTAAGTACAAGTGGTACAGTCCAGCCCCAGGAAGTCAGGGGCCTCATTTCTCTTCTGGAAGTCTCTTAACTCCAGAGTCACTTCTTAACACCAGTAACTTTCTCAGTATCAGGAATGCTAATCAGCTTTTCATATTTTTCTAAAGCATATTTTTCTCTCCTCCTCCCAACCCTTCTCCCCACCCCTGTTTCAGAAACGAGAAGGAATCCTCCAGTCTCGGCAAATCCAAGAGGAAATAACTGGTAACACAGAGTATGTCAACACCATTGTTGCCAGCGATTCTGTAATGGAACACAGATGTTTCTCCGAAATTCGTCCATTTGCTGATATTTAGTTTTCATTTATTGGGAGTGCAAGAGGGATTAGACTTCAGCCAATGATTATAGTTTAGCCTTTTCCATGCATTCAAAACATGCCTCTCAGTGCTTAAGGTACAAACTTGGGTGGGGAAGAGGGGAGAGAGAATTAGCAATGATTGAAAAATTCTAATTTCGTGGCACGCCAGGAAAAAAGTGTGCCCCCAAAGCCAACCAGCGTGAAATCGCCATGCTATAAACATGGGATTGAATTTAAACTGTTAACCTTCAAAAGGACATATTTCTTCCTTTTCTGAATCTGATTTGGTCACGTGCCATGACCCAGAAAGCCCCTCTCCACCTGAGGGTGGTATTTTTATTGTTTTCACTTACATTAAGGAATTGGAGTATCAGCACATGTAAGAGATTTGCCATGGGGAAGACATGTTTGGGTCACAGGCAAAAAGAGCAGGACTCTGGGGGCGGGGTGGGGGCACGGTTCAGACCCCCAGGCAGGCCTGAGCCCTGGCCCCACGCACAGCCAGGTAAAGTTCATTTTAAGGACACCCTGCTCCAACTTTCCTCTATCTTCCCTTGAACGAGGGTAGCCAAGTGGAAAGAGCGGGGACCTCTAAGCCAGCCTGACTTGAGTTCAAACCCAGGCTCTGCCACTTTACTCACATGGGAGTCTTTAACCTCTCTGACCTCAGTTTCTTCATCTGTGAAGTGGGGAGCATTTTGCTAACCATAGAGGATGTAACGTGGTAACAGCCCTGCCCCCCTTCCCCTTTGCCCTTCACTGCTGTCTTCCCTGGCATTCTCTGGTTACAGCTGACTCACAGCTGACCCATACCACGCGAGCCTTGCCCAGACTGGAGGAAACTCAGCCCCCTCCCTCACAGTGGCTGACGGGGGTCCAGGGTGCTGCCTGTGTGGACCCCACTATGCATGTGCCTTCGAAAGGGCCTGGGAGTTGTGGGCATTTCAGGACCCTGGTAGGGCAGAGATGAGGGGTGACCCAGTTTATGGCCTGCCTCCACGTCGCTCCAGGGCCCAGGCCTAGCAGCCGAGGGGCAGCTGCTGTGCGAGGCACACTGATTCTTGGCCTTGGGTCTGTGGGGTCTGTGGGGGGTGGGCAGAAAGCTGCCCTGGCTCAGTCCTGCTATGAGGGGAGCAAAGTTCCTTACCCTCATGCCCCCACCTCCTCAAAGCCTGTATCCTTTGCCAGGCTTGTCCACGTCCACTATTTCACCTTCTGGAAAAGGGGAGACAGATCTGAGAGGAGCCTGTGAGATGCTCCCAGGTCAGGGAACATGAAGTTTCAGTTTCCAGAGCAATCCCTCCGCTGCCCCTTGTCCTTCCCACGGTCCCTCTCTGCCACCTTGCCACATAGACATGGACAGATACACACTCCTAAGGATGACAACACAGCACAGGTTATGAAGCACTTTTGTATCTGTCGCTGTTTGTAATATACACATGAAGCAATGATTATACCTCCTAAAACCCCACAGCCCAAAGATGGAGAAGGAGATTATCGCTGGTCCATCCCACAGTGAACTCCGAGTTCATTATGCTTCCCAGTGCACATGGGTAATAGATGCACAGTTGGGATAAACTAATGAGAACCAAAAATGTATTGAGAAAAAAGGTATTGAGCATTTACTACATGCCAGGAAATCGTTCTACATATTAAATTATTTAATGCTCACAATATGCTATTGAGGTGTGTGACATTATCCTCATTCTAGAGATAAGAGACCTGGTGCCCAAAGAGGTTTGGTAACTTGCTCAAGGTCACACAGCAAGCGAATGGCTCTGTGGATTTAAACCTAAGTAGTCTGCCTTTAATGCTTGTGTTCTTAGTACTTTGCTGCTTCATGGCTGTAAGTGCAGTTCCAGTTCCTGCCCTCTTTGAGATAACTATTCTGGATCAAAGCGAGGTGCAGCTTGATGGGTATCACAGGACGAACAGGAGAGAGAAGAACTTGACCTCCCCAAGCTAATGCCCACAGCATCCTGGGCAGTGAAATTGTTAAGTGCAGAATAAAATGCCAAGAGAGCTTTGGGGCTTTTCAACCAAGGGCGAGAAGATTCACACTGTTTTCTTTTTCCTTTTCCTACAGGGCTCTTTCTGGAAGGCACGGTAAGTTATATAAAATTGTCCTATGCTGCTGGTGGCTGCCACAGGGGTCCAGTTAATTCTGCAACAGCTGGGGAGAACTGGCACTCAGCTTGCTTCCTGCATGTGTGTCTGCACCAGCCTGGTGACAGCCGCTTGGGAGGAAGGGTCAGTTTACTGGAGGGAAGAGGAAAACTAACCACAGCTGTGCCATCCTTTTGCAAGTAACCAGACCGTTGGCGTTGTTGGGTTTCTGGATGGGTCCTGGGCATTTGCAGGGCAGTCTTGCTTTAAGTGTATTGTGAAAGTAAAGGAAGGAAGTGTATTTACACGCTTGGACTGTCTCCGCTATCCACTCTGCCCAGCCCTTCTAGAAGCTGCCTTCTTTCTCTTTTCTTATCACAGCTCCTATCTCTTCCAGTTCTCAGAACTCTGGGTTTGTTTATAAAGTCTGTGAATGTCAGAGATCACAATCACCTTCCTGGAAGTCTCAGATTTGCCCATTGGTGCAAGAGGAGAAAAAGACGGACCCCCAGGACCATGAGCCTTCCCTGCCCCAGGTTCCTCTTGGAGACTGTTCTCATTTGCTGCCTGAGATCCCTCCATTACTTCACCTCTCAGTTCAGGAAACATGGGGGCTATAGCAAGGAAAAACCCTGCAGGGGGCATGGCTTTGCTGTTTCCTATGATCCTGTATTTACTATGCATATTTTGAATGATTCCAATAATGCTAAAACAATTCAGATCAGCATACACTCCGGTCTACACAGCACAGGCACGTACATTCTCATCTCTCATCTCATGACACACCTGGGAGGTCTGTTTCACAAGAGGAAGCTGGGGTGCAAAGCACTGAAGTGACCAGATCACTCCAGAAGAGGAGCTCACATCTGGTCCTGGGCTCTGTGGTTCCCAGTCTGCTTATTTATCCGCCCTACCAGGATGTGTCTTGTGGGTAACCTGGTTCTGATAATTACGGGGTGAAGTGATTGGACATTTGGATAACACTCTGCCTCCAAAAAGCTTCAGAAACACTTTAGAACCGTGACTAAATCATGATGTAATGAACAGAAAGACCAAACAGAAACAGCCAGTCCCAAGTCAAAGTGCCTGACAGAGCCCCTCAACCCCAGCCCAAAACAGGGTTAACATAGAGGGTGGACACTTATACACACAAGGCCCCTCATGTAAGAATCAACCCCAAATCTCTGCCCACAAACCAACTTCTGGAGTTCCCAGTGCAGCCTCACGCCCTGGAGAATTTGCATATGTAGCCGACCATGTGCCCAGGACTCGGGGTGGGCTTCCCGCCAGGAATCCGCTCTGTGCTTCACTGGACATTTTTCTCTTTCAGAACGCGATGCCTTCGACACCTTGTTCGACCATGCACCAGATAAGCTCAACGTGGTGAAAAAGGTAGGAAAGAGGCGCCTGGGAGGAAAGGATGGGGGCCAGGGTGGGGGAGTGAGATGTAGCAAAACTTTTTAGGAAAACGCATCCCTGCAGCTTTCAAGCTTCCTGAAACTGGTTTCATCACCAGATCTCTGCAGATGTCGGGCTTTCCTGCTCGATGTCCATTTTATCTGTCTTGTTCTCACTGAATACCTCATCCAGTCCCTTCCTTCTCCCATCTGATGATAGCATCTCTGAGTTCTGAGACTCTGAACACCCTGTCCTCCACCCTTACTGAACCCCCAGCTGTGCCTCTCTCCTCACACAGACCTCCCCCTGTCTCCCTAGTCACAGGCACCCAGGAAGGGACTGGAAGGAAGGACTCAGTGGGGTCATTTCTTCTCTGGTCCCCTTCCAAATTTTCCTTCAGCTCCCAGAGCCTGGGACCAGATGCTCCACCTCTCACTCCACCCTCTCAGGCTCCTTTCACAGTTTGAATCACATAGTGTAGGGGACTGCAAATCCTTGGGGGCTATCTTCTCCTATGAACTCCAGGGGCTTTGCCGAAGAGCCTCATAGGCTGCTTGCTCATCATCACTCAGCTTGGCACAGGGATCCAGGCCCCGTGCTCTCGGCTGGGCCTCGTGCTGTGTGATCACACTGGTGGTGGGCCCCACAGTGGCGTCACAGAGGGGGCCTCAAGGGTCTGGCCCTGGGGAGAGTCTCCATCTCAATGCCTGGCCTGTGCTTTTTTTTAGACTCTGATCACTTTTGTGAACAAACACCTGAATAAACTGAATTTGGAGGTCACAGAACTGGAAACCCAGGTGGGTGACAGCCCTGAGTGGAGGGTAGTGGGCCAGGTCCTGTTCGACAGCCACCATTCCCAGTGCTCAACCCCTGCATTGCCAGGAGGGCTTTCAGGAGGAAGGGGATTCTATTGCATTCAAAGGGATGAACTGCTCGGAATTTATCTTAATTTATTTTGAAAAGTTGCAAGAACATTATCATGAATACCCATATAGTCTTCACCCACATACATCAGTTGTTAACATGTGGCCATCTGTGGGTTTTGGGGGCTTTTTCCTCTCTCTCCACCCTGAGTACTTCAACATACATCTCTAAATAACAAGCACATTCTCTTAGGTAGCCACAATCCAATGATCAAATTCTGGTAATTTTAACACTGATATAATACATTAGGTAAAACCATATGAAATTGTTGATACTTATCTACTTTTGAAAATGTCTCATCGTTCAAAAAAAACCACTATATTCCAGTTTTTCTAGCTGCCCTAATATTCTCACATGCTGTATTTAGTTGTCATGTCTCTTTAGTGTCTTTTTATTATAGAACAAATCCTCAGCCTTTCTGTGCATGACATCATTTTTGAAGAGTGTGCAGGCAGGCCATTGGGTTCATAGAAAGTTTCTCAGTTTCCCACCCTCCCCCCCCCACCCCACACTCACAGTTAGATTCAGGTGATGCATTTTTGGTAACAACAACACCTAAGCAGTGCTGTGTTTTTCTCAGACACCTTGTCCATGCGCTTGTCACTGGTGATAGTAACTTTGATCACTGGGGTAAGTTGGTGTCTACCAAATCTCTCTACTGTAAAACTTTTCTCCCTCCTTTATAACAACTAATCTTTACTGGGAGATTCTTTAGGATTGAGTAATGTATCCTGTTTCCCAACCTGCTTTCATTCATAATGAGTTTTTAAAGTGTGGTTTTCTTGTGAGCACGTGGTCGTCTCCTGTTGTTTTTAAAAGCAATTCCCGGGTCTGTGCCTGAGCACTGAGTGTGTCTGAACTCTGTGGAATGAGTTTATATACTCTTTTGGGAGTTAGGGAATGCTCTGGAAAAGTGATATTTCCTCGAGTGAGCTAGCATGAGCTCCGGAACTTTCACTTCTGTTTTCCTGGGTAGGGAATGCTGTGCAAAGGAGTCTCTGCCTGGTGTGTTTGGTGTCTGTCTGCAGGTTTTACCATCCAGTCATCAGAAAGAGCAGTCAGGGGTGGGAGCTGCCTGTATCTGTGGCACTCAGAGCTGTGAGGGACCTTGACCCTAATCCAAGGTCCTCCCCTGAGTTGACAGATTGGATTTTTTTATTCTCAGGCCATTCTAGCTATAGCCAGAATGAGGCCCAGTTAATTAGTTCCATGGGAGGACCTGGATTTTGACACAGATGCTGGGGTCTGCTGTCGCATTATCCACCTTGGGGTGACATGGAATGAGTCATGCTTAGGCCCTACACACTTGAGGACAGAAGCAGGGAGGAAGCTGCTCCTGTGTCAAGTTCATGTTCTGGGTCATCAATGCACCCATAACAAAGGGTGCCCTTCCATCGCAGGGCCACACACACACACACACTCACCCAGACTGGGATGATGGAGACACGCCTGTTCACCTGATGTGCGCATCTTTGGGATGGGGGAGGAAGCCAGAGTCCTGGGAAAGAGCCCACGCAGACATGGGGAGAACATGCCAACTCCACATAGAAACAGACAGTGGCCTCAGCTGAGTGTCCATTCTTTTCCCCATCACCATTATAATGTGATGATATTATTTGAGGACTTGCTATAGTTAATATTTATTAAATGTTGCCTACATGTCCAGCAATGTTCTAGGCACTTTAGACCTATTAACTAACTTAGTTTTCATGATAACCCTGCTAAGTAGATACTATACTATTGTCATCCCCATTTTCCTGATGGGAAAAATGAGGCACAGAGGAGTTAGGTAACTTGCTCAGATCACATAGCCAGTGAGTAGTAGAGCTAGAGGCCTAGCTCCAGAGCCCGAGTTTGCAATAGCTGTGCTATATTGCCTCTCAAGCAATGATAAAGTGAGATGTGAGAAAGGGCAATACCTAGGCCCGGATGATGCTAGAGTTCTTTGTTCATAAAGCAAGTCACCGTAGTAGCCTCATGCCATTGGCCTTGGGTATACCCCTGCCTTCCTCTCCCTGCCCCACGCTAGCTGATTCCTGCTCATCCCTCAGGCCTCCATTCAGGCAGCACTGCCTCCAGAAGTCTTCCCTGTTGCCTTCAGTGGGAGAGAGTGAACTTCGTCGTTTTCACACTAGCCACTGTGCTTCCTTCCATTAGAGCAACCTCTGCATTTTCTCCACATCATTCTTCCTAATGGACTATGAGCTCCTTGAGGACAGGGGCCACTGATGCATGTCTCTGGTCCAGGTGCCAGATAAAGGCTTGGAACATGGTCGATGCTCAGTAAATGCTGGGCCATGGGTTTGTGGCTCCAGGTCTGGACCAGCCAGGCCAGACATGTTGACATAGAAGCTGATGAACCCTCTGAATGTGGCTCAGCTGGGGGTGGGGGGAGCGGGCAAAGGGGCCTAGTGCCTTCACCTGGCTCTCTCCCTCCAGTTTGCAGATGGGGTGTACCTGGTGCTGCTCATGGGACTCCTGGAGGGCTATTTTGTGCCCCTGCACAGCTTCTTCCTGACCCCAGACAGCTTTGAACAGAAGGTAAGGGAAGATGATGTGAAGAAAGGCCCTAGCCCATGAGCCCTGACTCATCTGCCTACATCTATGCTGGGGCCATCTGAGGAAAAGGCAGCAGCTGCCTGTCTATCCAGGGTCTTCAGAGGTTGGAGGTAGAGTCCATTCTGATGAGCACTGAGCAGCAACAAAGCTACCTGCAGACCACTGAGCATCCCAAATAGCTTTCTCCTCACTACCCACCCCCTACCCGAGCCTGGCCTTGGTTGCCTAGTCATATGCTCTGGCTGGGTGCCATAGGCCAGTCACACCTCTTCCCAGAAGTGGCGGGGAAGGTAGTTGCAAGGCTGGTCTGACTTGAGGAGCCACACTCAGCCCAGTTCTGATGCCTTTCATTGGCGGCCACAGCCTGTGTGCTAGACAAGGAACATTTGATCCAAGGCAGAAACCCTTCTCTGCCTCTTAACACATCTTGCTGTCTGATCCTTTCAGCAGTGAGCGTTAATGTCACTGAGTTGGAAATCCTGGCAGTTGACACAGGAACACAGTAGGACAGGAAGAGGAGCCCAAACTCCTCCAGAAGCGCTCGCCAACAGCAGGCTGGGACTGTCCAGCTCACATTCCACATGGCCTGCCCATTTTGGTAGCCTCATTTCTCCTTCAAATTAGGGCCTCATTTTAGCTCAGCCTCTATCCCTCTAGTTACAGTACTGACTCCATCACTTTTAGGAGCAGGTCTCAGGATCCACAAGTGTCCAGGAACGAATGTGTAACAACACACGCACTGCATTTCTCTTTCCAGGTCTTAAATGTCTCCTTTGCCTTCGAGCTCATGCAAGATGGAGGGTTGGAAAAGCCAAAACCACGGCCAGAAGGTACTTTGCTCTTCCCCTGGGTTTGTGACAAGATGGTGAGACCCTCTTCCTGTGTTAGTGTTCAGGGCGCAGGGCTAAGCTCATGTTTCATAGCAGAGGGAAGAGTTTCCTTTCTGAAGGCTTCTTTGCCATTCGAAAGGGAGGGTATGACAGAGTACAACTGCCCAGTTTTGGAAATCCTTAGTGAACCGCAAACCACGTGGCCATGGGAAGACAAAACCTGAAATCTCACGCATGGGATCCTGGGAATAAGGACCCAAGCAGACATGGCACAGGGCAGAGGTACCACAGGAACTGCCTCGTGCCCTGTTTCCAGGCTCTTCTGTCCCTGGACAGGGTGCTGACCTGCCAAAGAGCGGTGTCCCAGGCCAGTCATTGTTGGCAGCTCTGCTCTGAGTATGAGTGTCTTTCCTGTCCTGTGCCCATCCAAACTGCCCAGCGATGATTTGTCAGAGTTAGGTTGAAGATGTAAGACTTAAAAAAAAAAGGCCCAAGGAAGAAACTGCTCCGCTATTCCTCCTGTGCCAGTGCTTGGAACTGTGTGTGCATGTGTGCACGTAGGAGGCACATGTCTTCAGCAGCCTCCCTAGTGCAGATGTTTGTTTCTGAAGCTGACTGACTGAAATATTCCATTTTACCGGCACTAGTGTGTCAGTGTTATGTTGTAGATAATTTTCTGTTTATGTCAGTTTAGAACATTAGGAATGCTATGTTTAGGCCCTTTTGCTTGTACTTTCCTGGCTGTTTAAAGACAAGTGAACAAGTAGGGATTGTGTGCTTTCACTCCCCATTGCTGCCTCTGCTCTGAATTCCTCCACCCAAACCTCCACATAGAGGGGCACTATCACTGACTGTCTGGTGGTCCTGAGACCCCACGCCTAGGCCATCCCTGACCTCAAGGCACATGTAGCCAGCAAGGGAGAGAAAGGTTGTACCAGGTCCCAGAACAAAAGGATAGTGGTGATAACTGCCATGAAGAGGTACAACTAAGAGGTTATGAGAACTGAGGAGGTGATGATCGCTTCTCTCTGGAGTGGGGGAAGGTTTGATAAAGATGGTGATAGTTGGGCTAAACCATAAGGATCAGGTAGGGCTTTTGTTTGGAAATTAGGATAGAAGAGAGGCCGGTACAAGCAAAAGCTCAGCTTGACCTGCACTGGTTCCCCTCCTAAGGACCTATGGAACCAACATAGCTGGTGGGTAGCTTCAGAACACACCAGAGCACTACCTAACAGCTCAACAAACAACACACCCAAAGGGCGGCTTTGGCTGTATTAGAGCCCTGCTAAAGTGACCCCTGCTCCTTGGGTCAGCCCCAACATAACAGTTTGTCTGCCAGTCACGAACAGCCCTCACAGCCACTCAATCTGAGGATCAGTCCCACCCTTGATGTACCAACAGCAGTCATGGCTCAACTATAACAGCAGGACACATACAACACACACAAGGGGCACCACTGGAGCATTCAGCTCAGGTAACCAAGGAGACTGCACCACTGAGCCCCACAGGACACCTACTACATAAGGCCACTCTGCCAAGAACTGAAGATGTGGCAGATCTACTTAATACCTAGAAACAAATTCAGGGAGTCAGCCAAAATGAGGAGACAAAGAAAAAAGTTCCAAATGAAAGACAGGATGAAAATCCAGAAAATATAACTAAACAAAATAGAGACAAGCAATCTATTAAATATAGCCTTCAAAACAGTTGTTATAAGAATGTTCAATGATCTTAGGGGGAAAATAGGTGAACTCAGGGAGGACTTCGACAAAGAAATAGGAAATATCTACATGGAGATAGAAAACATAAACAGAAATGAAGACTATATTAGAGGGAATCAAGAACAGATTAGATGAAGCAGAGGATTGAGTAAATAATCTGAAAGATAAGGCAATAAAAAACATCCATAGTAATACCAAAAAGAAAAATAATTTTTGAAAATGAGAATTGTGTAAGGGACCTTAGGGACAACATCAAGCACCCCAACATTTGCATCAGAGAGGTACCAGAAGGATAAGAGAGAGAACAAGGGATTGAAAACTTTTTTGAAGAAATAATGAAAGAAAACTTTCCTAATCTGGTGAAAGAAACAGAAATACAAATTGAGGAATTACAGAGGCCCCCAAACAAGATGAACGCAAAGAGGCCCACACCAAGACACATCATAATTAAAATGTCAAAGGTTAAAGACAAAGAGACCTTTAAAAGCAAGAGAAAAGCAGTTACATAAAAGGGAACTCCCACAAGATTGTCAGCTGATTTCTCAACAGACACTTTGCAGCCTGAAAGGAATGGCAAGAAACATTCAAAGTGATGAAAGGCAAAGACATACAACCAAGAATGCTCTACCCAGCAAGGCTATCATTTACAGTTGAAATAGAGATAAAGTGTTTTCCAGACAAGAAAAAGCTAGAAGAGTTCAATACCACTAAACCAGTATGACAATGTTAAAGGGATTTCTTTAAGAAGAAAAGATTGAAAATATAAACAATAAAATATAGGAAAGAAAAAATCCCGACAAAGGCAAACATAATAAAAGTAGTGGATCACAATTATAAAGCTAGTACAAAAGTTAAAAGGTAAAGTAGGAAGATCATGTATAATTACAACAATAAATTAAGAGATACACACAAACACATCAATGCAAAAGTAAAAACAAATGACAGAAACATAAATGAGGTAGGGGATGAGTGAAAATTGTAGCAATCTTAGAATGTATTCAAACTTAAGTGACAATCATCTTAAAATTGACTGCTATATACATAGCTTACTACAAAGCGCTGCAAAAGTAGGTTTATATTCCTGTATTATTGTCTATTAATTATTGTATTATCCATAAAAACAACTGTAAACCTACTTTTATCCCACCCTCTACATGTGAAGCACACAGTAGCCACAAACCAAAAGTCTGTAAGTTATACAAAGGAATCTAAACATAACACTATAGAAAGTCATCAACATTGAAGAGAACAAGAAAATAAGAAACACAGATAAACTACAAAAAAAAAACCAGAAACAATAAAATAGCAATAACACACACCTATCAGTAATTACTTTAAATGTAAATGAACAAAATGCTCCAAATTATGAGACATAGGGTGGCTGAAAAGATTAAAAAACAAAAACAAAAAAAACAAGACTAGTACATATGCAGCCCATAAGAAACCCACTTTAGATCAAAAGACACACAGACACTGAAGGTAAAGAGAGGGGAAAGATATTTTATGCAAATGGAAATGGGAAAAAACCCACACTTATATCAGACTAAATAGACTTTACGACAAAGTCTGTAACAAAAGACAAGTACATTTCAATATGATAAAGGGATCAATCTAACAAGAGAATACTATATAACTCTTGTAAACAGCTATGCAACCAATGCAGGAGCACCTAAATATACAAAGTAGACATTGATAGCACAAAGGGAAAGATTAACAGTAAAACAGTAATGGAAACAGAAATCAACATGCAGAGAGTGGCCTTAAGTGACACATTAGACCAGACAGATTTGACTTTTTAAAGAACATTTCACCTCAAAACAGCACAATATACCAGTATTTTGCCATGTATAATGTGTGATCTTTTGCCCAAATTTTTGAGGGAAAAAGTACTAGGTACTTAAAAAAACAGCTTTGCTTGTTTTTGATCACTTCAAAGCCCATGTTACACAAAGTGCAAAAGCAATCACAGCAGACTTGAAAACCCAACTTGCTGTGGTACCTGGTGGGTTAACCAGCCAGCTGCAACCTCTTCATGTGTCAGTAAACAAGCCCTTTAAGGCCCTAATGAAGAAAGAGTGGCTGTTGTGGATGCAGTCAGCTGATAATGATTTAATACCTACAGGCAGAATGAAGAAAGTGTCCATTGCCCAGGTATGTGATTGGGTCCTAAGATCATGGAATGGTGTTAAGAAGGTGTTCAGGGACTTTTAAATTGTTTTTAAAATGCAGCATCAGCAGTGCTATGGGTGGAACCAAGTATGATGAAATTAACTAGGATGAGGAAAGTGACTCAGAAGATACTGGTAATGTAGGAATTGAAGAAGATGATGCTTCTGATATTTACAGTGACAAAGTTCTTGGCCTCTGTGATGCATAAATATTGTAAAATTTGTTACTGGTACATCAAATTTCTTGTACCTTCTATCTGTTCTTGTGTTTTCTAATTATTTGTTACATAAAATTTCTTGTACCATAATATGTTCAAAAACAAATGTAAAAATTTCTTTATAATACAAAAAATAAGCATCTAAATGTAAATAAGTAAATAATTGAATTAAAAATTTCAAACAAAAGATATTTTTTCTGAAAGTTTAGCCCAAAAACATGGGCACACATTATACATGACAAAATAAAATACATCCTTTTTGACTGTACATTGAACATTTTCCAGGATTGATTATATTAGGACATAAGTCTCGATAAATTTAGGAAGACTGAAATCATATCCAGCATCTTTTCTTATTACAACAGATGAATTTGAAATCAGTTACAAGAAGAAAACTGAAAAACACAAACACATGGAGGGTAAATAATATGATACTAAACAATGAATTGGTTAACAATGAAATCAAAAGATACATTGAAACAAAAGAAAATGGAAACACAACACCTAAAAAAAAATTTGTGGGAGACAGCCAAAGCAGTTCTATGAGTGAAATTTATAGCAATACAGAACTACCACAATAAACAAAAAAATGTCATATAAATAATTTATCCTTACACTTAAAGGAACAGGAAAAGAGAAGACTAAACAATACCCAAAATAAGAAGTAAATAAATGTAAATATTAGAATGGAGACAAACGAAATGAGTCTTTAAAAAAGCTATAGAGATATAAATAAATGGAAGCATATGCTATGTTCATGGATTGGAAGAATTAACATCATTAAAATGTCTGTACTACCCAAAGCAATCTATAGATTCAATACAATCTCTATTAAAATACCAATGACTTATTTCAGATATAGAAAAAATATTTCAAAAAGTTATATAGAACTA